TGTCAATCATTCAGAACCTTAGCCACTAAATTAATTTTATTCATAGTCGGTCCAGATTATTGTCCCCAAGCTGTTTGAACCCTATGGATCATTTCGGTTCATCTTTCCAACAATCTTCGAAAATGAAATAATCATCTCAATGATTATATTAAGGTAGGAGGGACTGCTCTGTGTCCAACGACAGATGACAGTGATCCGACTCAAGCATATTTTCACTCCTAACCGCATGAGAAGCATTGAGAGACATCCAAGAGAAAGAACCAAGGAAACGATCAAGTCTCTCACAAATAACCGTCGATGGTGACACACCCCATAACCACGTAAACCATCCACTGCTTAGACGAATATCCCAAAGATAGTTACGGTCAAGGCAATGTCAGAAATCGACCATATCCGAACGGGATCGACGTCGACCTCCAGACTTCTCTGAGTCGGAGAGAATTTCATTAAGGTCACCATCAATCACCCACGGGAGGGAAGATTGATCACGAAGGAAGTCAATCAACGCCCAAGTATTGGCTCAATATCTTCGATCACTAAAACCATGCAAGCCAGTGAATCTGAACGGATTGCCAATGCCATGAACTGATATGCCAATATGATGATCTGATAGAGACAATAAATCTACCTGAATAGAATGCTGCCAGAGAACAATTAAACCAGAACAAGTTGAAGAACTCGGAACACACAAACCTCCATCCATTTGAAGAAGAATTTTGATCTATTCAACCTTATTTTGCTGAAGATGAGATTCACAAAGGAACACAACATCAGTATCTTTGTGAGCAATTAATTGCTCAAGAGCTCGAACTATCTGCAGGTTCCCAAGCCCACGGTAGTTCTAAGATAAGATATTCATAATGATTGGCGGGGTTGGCAACCAGCCTCCGCCGTTAAAGCATCTGATGAGTTTGAAACCTGAGCCAAAGAAGAGGATCGAATGAGTTCAATTGACCGAGTTCGAGTGCTTTGTTGGGACAAAATTGGCCAAACAAAACGAGATTGTCGAGGATCGTTTGAATGACCTTGCACCCTTAGAAGGTGGACAAGTAATTTGGATGCCCTTTCCTTTGGCACCCCCAGATAGACCTGAGGATGTAGATGTAACAGAAGCAACGAATGGCAAGGACGAAGGGTTCCCTAAAACTGAATGAGCAAACAGATTCGATTGTCGAGGAGTAGAGGCAGAAGGAGCCATCGCATGATCCAACCGAATAATACTCGGACGAGCCTGTTGTTGAGAGGATGAACCAGGAGGAAGATCCACTCTTAGCTAATCACCAAACTGATTTTCACCTTCTGTCACCAGTACCTCAGTTGTACAAGATGCAATAGGGTGTCCAATAATACCACATCGGTAGCAAAATACTTGGAGACGTTCATACAGAAGTATACATAACTGAGGTGAACCATCAGGCCTTCGTGCAATAGCTAGACATCGACGAAGGGGTTTAGATATGTCAATCATTACCCTAAGCCTCATATAAGATCCCATACGACCTGCTCCCGGACGAAAATCAACCGACTCTTAAATGCCAAGTCTCTGCCCTATCCGCGACGCCATCTCTTCTGTCATCCATCCCAGAGGAAGATCGTACACACGGATCCATATAGCCAATCGTGAGAAATCAAAGTCAGTCAGACTGCAGAGGGGGTCATAATGTGTAAGAGCAAACAAGTCCTCGTTAAACGACCAATGACTACGATCCAAAACAAATTGCACGGCTTCAAGAGACAATAAGGAAACCATGAAGTGTTTGTCACTAAGAGCAGATATAGTGGACACCCGAGTTAAAGCGGTAGAATCAATCGAGTTCACTGAAAACAAAGCCAATTAAAGTATGCTTTGATGGTTTGTTGGTCGAAGTCTCAGATAAGCCTGGAAGCAAGACTTCACCCACCTCATCATTGGTGAAATTTAGGTGGGCAAGGAGATTATGTGCTTCTTCAGCCATTTCCAAGAACACTACCTTCCAAGGGAAGCAATTCAAGTGCAAATACAAACTGTAGACAGAAGAGACCATACAAAAATCATTGAGAACCACGTGTAAGAAGTTGGCAAAAAATCGTTGCATGTACCATGCAACCACCTCCATGCCACAAAAAGCTAACCACCCCACATTCCAGACAGTACGTAGGTTAACCGCTCTAAACCGACTGAAGTACAGCAGGAACTGATCTGATGGACGTGATAATCCGACTGAATAATTTCCGAACAGCGAATGAAGAGGGTAGAGGACTGGAATTGGGTGAACGTATTGTTCAAGATCTCGGTGGAAATCTCCAAATCAACACTGGTGGCGGCCAATACCGCTCGATATGGAAGAGAAAGGAAAAGTTGAACGACTAGACGATGAAAGGGAAACCTAGATATCAAAACACATAACCAAACCTGCACCGAGGAACTGTAGCGAACCTCGGCGACGATGACACCCTGCCATAAGCGGAGGGCCGAGAGCATGAGGAAATCAATTTGAATAGGGATTGTCACGCATATTTCTTTAAATTTTAAATTTCTATATGAAGTTAAGAGCATAACCTTATGTTCAAATTATATTTAATTTAATAAAATTTAGTAATTATATTTTTTATTCAGTCATCCAACGTGTGTAATTCACAAATAATTACATTCAAATTTAACTAATTGATTAAATATTGGAAAATTTTTAAATATAATCTAATTGATTTCTTTAATTTCGAAAGATATAATTTTTACCTAACCTCGGTACATGTAGATGTTTAGGTTAGGTGATTATGGAATTTGATTATTATTACTATTATTGAAATATAATAATATAATACAATCAAGACCTTCAAATTAATAAGTGTGGATATTAATAACTTCTTTTCGAAATTCTATAAAAAAAAATCCATACACTGGATTATGAATGATCATATAATATTGTTATGATTTCATTATATTTTAATCTTATTCGATGTAAATATAAAATTTTAATTTTAATTTTTTCACCATTATAAATTTATCATAAATCTCTTTCAATTAAACCTTAAATATGACCAATTTTACTCTGAAATTACACAAATCCAAACATTTCCCTCCCAAGTGTAGGTGTCTAAATTCCATTTTTCATTGTTTGTAAATTTGTGGAGGTATTATTTATTCTTATTGTATTTTGTATTGTCATTAGATAGTTTAATCACATGAAAGGAATCATACGTTTCAAGTTTGAATATGTAGGGTCCTAAAGACCCAAGCCCATCGTGAAAAACATTTAGGATTTTTTTGTGTGAAAAGGAAAAGTTTTATTTAATAATATGGGATAATTATATTTGTAGTATTTACTTATAATTTTTTAATTAATTAGTAATGAATACATTCTTTGTAGATACAATTTTCATATTCAGAATTTTTAAGAAAATAACATTCTATTTTACCGTTAAGATCACTTGATCGGTTCAAGCAAAAAGCTGATAAACTACCATACGAATCCATATTATAAATTTTTAATTACAAGTTCAATTAACGTTAAAAAAATAAGAATTGAACTCATCAAGTGATTTTAGTAATAAAAGAAAATATTTTTCTAGAAATTCTGATTTTGAGCAATTGAGTCTGTATGGTATGTGCACGTATTAATAAGTTAACAAAAATTTGAACATATATTATATTGTAATCATATCATATTTTAAAAATAAAAATAAAAATTGATTTAGAATCTATATAAATTAGAAGATAGTACATTAAATATTATATCTTAAAAGAGTCAACGGCAACCTATAATTAAAAAATACGTTTGACATGTTCACAATTCAAGAAAATAATAATAACATTTTAATTGAAAATTTTATAAAATTATATTTTATATTTTTTAAGTTTAAATCTTTATCAACTATTAATTAATAGAATGAGTTGTACTTTTAATTTACAAGAGAGAGAAAAAGCTACACCACACAAGAAAATAATGGAACCAAACTTAGTTTAATTTCGTAGGCTTGCACGATTCCTTCCCCCAACAATTCATTATATTATACCAACCAACTCACTTCAATAGGTAAAGTATTTATTATTGTTTTTAAATGTTATCGATTCGAGCACCAATAATTATAATAAAGTGATTGAATGTATTCATTATTAAACGAGTGAAAATATATTTAGAACATATATAATTTGTAATCACCTTAACCTAATAAAAAACAATTCATTATATTATTTTTGCATCTTTAAAAAAATTATACTTGGAACATGATATTTCCCTTTTGTTAAATAACTTTTCGGTAAATTACACATTTAATACTTAAACTATCAGCTTTGATTTATTTTATTACTTAAACTTTTAATTTTTTTCAAAACCATACTTAAAGTTTAATTTTTTTTTTTCATTTTAGTACTCATCGTCTTTCATTTTTGTACCCACGTTCAAAATTTAAAGTTAAGTTTTGAAAATATTGAAAGTTTAGATACTAAAACGGATCAAAACTGATAGTTTATGTACTAAGCGCGTTAAGTTTTTAATGAGCGGTACTAAAATGAAATGAAAACTAAACGTTAGATATGATTTTTAAAAAAACTAAAAGTTTAGATACTAAAACATATCAAAATTAATAGTTTAAGTAAATAGTTTACCCTAACCTTTTTTAGAATGATTAACAAATGAATATTCCGGTTCAAACGCCTCAATAGGTAATTCCCCTAACTTTATGGAAATGCTCACGTGCGGTAGTCTTAATATACAACAAAAAAAAATGCTACCGATTTTGTTATTATTTAAATAATAAAATCGGTAAAAAATTACCAGAAATATTATTATTTCTATCGGTTTTATTATTGTTGGACATTTTTATCAGAAATGTTAAAAATAGATATTTTAGATAAAATTAATAATATTTTAGATAAATTTTTTTATCAATTTTATTATTTAAATAATAATAAAACTGATAACATTTAATTTTAATCTTATATTAAGGTGTCGCACTGTTTAATTTACACACCGACTTAGCACCACGAATAGGACAGATACTGATAACATATCCGTAAGGCTCAAATAAATTAAATTTAAAAAAGTGCGCCAACTCGATTTCCCGATTCAGCACCACCGTATCACCACCAGCTATGGGCGATGAAGTTACCATCGACGGCGCCGACGAGGACTTAGCCCTCTCCAAGTCCGAGTTTCTCAGCCGACAAGAGGTGCTTCGCCGGCGGTTGCGGCGGATCAAGCAGATAGCGAGGCACTACAAATCTCTCTACTGGAGCCTAATGGAGGGGGTCAGGAGAGACTACAAGGAATACTATTGGCTCTACGGAAAGAGCCCTTTCAAAGAAGACGAGAAGAAGAATGACGAAGAAAACGATGGAAATAAGTTAGGGTTTCGTCTGAAGTGTCAGATTTCAGATTGCAAAGAGAAAGCGATGGCGTTGACTCGGTTTTGTCTTAAACATATTTTAAAGGATTCTAATCAGATCCTATATCGAGGCTGTAATTTTCCTATCAAGAGGTTTGTTCTTTTTTCTATATTTTTACGATTTTACTTTTATGTGTTTTCTGCTTTTTTATTTTTTATTTTTCTTGAATGCAATTTCTTCTATAAGTTGAATTAGGGTTTAAACTGTAGTCAAAATCATGAATTATTTTTTCTTTCTTTCATTTTTTTTTTGGATCTTGGAGAACATTGATGCTCTTGGACTCATTTACTGACCTTGGAAATTGAATTCAATAAAGAATGAATCTTACTCAAATTTAGAGCTTAAAATTTGTGATGTTTGAAAACATTTATTTACTTGGATTTACTGACATTGGAAATTGAATTCAATAAGAAATACTCTTCCTCTAACTTAGAACTTAAAATTTTGATCCTGCACGGCGACATAAGGAGTCTTGTGCTAGCGAACTTGAGAATATCTCTTTTTTGTTTCTTCTATGAAAGCTTATTCTAACAAATATGGAGTCTTAACTCTTATTTAAGTATATGCTATTCTCTTTTCCAACCCTAGTTTTGTCGATGGAAGAAGTTATTTGGCTTGGTAGACTGTTCGTAAATTTAAATATGCTTTCTGTGTTGAAAATTGAAATAATGATAGTTGTTTTGACATTCTGTAGTGAAAGAACATGTGATGAATTTAAATGACATTGCTACTATGGTGTATTCTCGTGAATGTGATTTATTTCCTTTCTCATCATTTTCTCTAATGTTCAAGAGGATCCTTGATTAGATATTTAATAGGAGAAGAAGTCTTTAAGTTTATGGTTGATGCGAATGACCACGTGCTAATAGAGAGAATGCCATATATGTCCTAATTAACCATATGGTTGCATTTCCATGAAAAGTTTGTTGTGGGATAGGTTAAGATTAATGCTCCTGTGTAAATGGTCTTCGGTTCTTAATCCTATGCGGCTATGACCCAAACAATACGATAACAAAATAATTTACAAGGAAAAAAAATGAAGTTGTAGTTGGTGGTGTAAGGTTTTGCTTAGGTTGAAGAGAATTTTGGCTTTGTTTGCCTCTATCTCTTGAAAATATTTCAAGAAGTTGGGATAATATCAACTCTTCTGTGGATATGAGCTATTTTGCTCCGACTCTTCCTTTTTATTGAGGTATTTGTGTCAGGCACTTGTATTCAGAAATATGACCTTCAAGGATTCTCCAAATACATGGGGAAAAAATCTGACCATACCCTTGTCGGACACACACATGTATTCAACACTCCTATTCAAGACTTCAAGTCCAAGTAACATATGATATGAGAAATAATCATACCTTTTATTTCATAGTCTCCTCTTTCCTCTCATTTAAGTGTAATACATTAGCTGTTTTGAGGAAGCTTTAATTTATTGTTTTGTCTGAAAACTTCAATGGGCTTCCTTCATACACTAAAAATCTTAGAACTTTAAGAGCCAAAGACATCTCTTCTACTCTTATTGCAGAAAAGCTCATTTTTGAGCTGGGCCAAATACACATTAAAACTAGGCACTGCTGTTGCTCTCTCCATTTTAAACATTTAAGGATGTGCACTTGGGGACACGAATTTTAGATGTCGCCTTGGTGATGCCTATTATTATTGTTCCTCCTATTGTGTAAGATAGCAACTGCATCATTTATGGTCGGCTTTATTTTCTTTAATTGGTCACTATATCGGATAACCTTGTCCTCCTATTAATATCTATACCTGTTCTCCATACTTGGGTTTGTGTTCCTTGTAATACTTGCTGACTACATTTTTGCTTGAATACATTTCTTTGTCCTAACTGGTCAAAGGCTGACCCTTGCAATGTATTAGCTTAGTAAATTTAAGAACTATATCTTGTTTAAACAGTGAGCAGATTTGCAAGAAACCAATCCTAAGATCCATTAATCCTCCTCATTGCCCTGTCCATGCTCAAGCAGCTGAAAAACATCTTCAACGAGCTTTGAAAAGGGCCGGCCTTGACGTCCCATCTCCAGGTAAGCTTGCTCCGAAGTTGCATGTTGTTGTCGTCGAGTATGTTCGCCAGATTCAAACTAAAAGAAGCGAAGCACAACGGAAATCTGTATCTAAAATCAAGAGTGAAGAGAAAGCTAGTGAAAGCTGAATACATTCAGCAAATATGTTGTCGGACACTGGAATTGTGCATCGAAGATCATCATTTCTGCATAGCAGCAATTGTTTTTCCCATTTGTTGTTGTTTCGGTTCGAGGATATGTTCATTCATGTGCTATTCACGAAATAAAATCCATTATTTATCCTTCACATCATTTTTTCCCCCTCTTCTAACGTAGAGAAACAAGCCAAATAGAAAATCTAAATCTAAATCTTTAATTTTCAAGTCTCCTGCATGAAACAGGTTGTCAAATCAGCATTTATAATTACGTTATGGGTCGGGTTACTATCTGTTAGACGCAATCCATCATCTGAAAATCTTCCAACGCCTAATAGTATTATATGTTGTAATTCATCTTCTATTAAAGTTTTATTGCTTTACTCATTTAGGTGCTCGGGCCGTCAACGGCGTTAATTTCTTCTATTAAGTGACACGTATCACACAACATGGTAATTTTAAAAATTTATTTAAAATTAAAAAATATATATATATATATATATATTAAAAAGAAAACACAAATATTGAAATAAACCCAAAACTTTGAAAACATTCATTTAAACCTCAAAACCCACGTTAGCCGACACCTCTTGTTGTCGACGAAGCTCCACCTGACCTCCCCTCCCCTTGGCGACCAAAACCCCCATGAAATCGTGACCGATTGGCGACGAATCAACATTTTATACCCCGCGAACCCTAAGATAAAAATCTCGATCCCACGTGATTCCAATGGTTGATCGTCGGTCGATCGGTCACGATTTCATGGGGGTTTTGGTCGCCAAGGGGAGGGGAGGTCAGGTGGAGCTTCATCAACGGCAAAAGGCACCTACCGACATGGGTTTCGGGATTGAAATGAAAGTTTTTAAAGTTTTGGGTTTATTTCAATATTTGTGTTTTCTTTTTAAAATATAAATGTATAATTTTAATTTTTTAATTTTAATTAAAAAATTTAAAATTATCATATTGTGACAAGTGTCACTTAACATCCCGTCACTACTTGACCTGTTTTGAGTAACGAAATAAAACGTTAGGTATTAAATTGGAACAAAATAAACGTTAGAGACCAAACTGAAAAATGAACATAGATTGGGCGCATTTTGTATATTTAAGCACACACAAAAAAGACAATTTTTTAGTATGGAAAATGAAACATACATTTCTTTGACAATTAAAAACAAAAATGGGAACTTGGATTCCAACTTTCCAAGGTTTAGATTTGAAAATCGTGCCATATGCTTCGATTTAAAGTATTCTCATACAGCTGATTTGAAACGATTTCATATGAAAATGGATTGTATAAATAAGTTAATAAAAATTCCCCCAAAAAAAACAAAATTAGCATTGATTATGGAAGGTCCCATCTGATTTATACTCACCAACTTGGTTTAACCAATTAGCTCTGGCCAAATTCTTACAAATATATATATATATATATATATATATATATATATATATTCAAATTGAGTTAGTTGGTCACCAAGAGATCATTTTGATGCTATTCAAACCACAAAAACCAAATATCTGTTGCTGCAAACAGTTCACAATCACACACACACAAAATATCATTTTCATGTCAAGTTGATTCCTAAAAAGGCTTCATTCTCAATATATATAAACACACGACATTGGCAATACAAAGGAGAGTGATCAAATCAATATATATTATGAAATCAAGAATAGATGGAGATCCTTTACAACAAAAATAAAAATTCTTTCTACAGTACTAGTGACTTAGCGAGAGAAAGGACAGATTCCCGGAATCTAATACAGCCGGGCTTGCCTCTCGGGTCCAATTTTTTCAACATCAATCAATGTTCTGTGGAAAAAGAAACCAATATAATAGAAGCAAACCAAAATTCAATTTAATTTCAAAAAAAGGTACTAACCACACCACCTCATTTCCGAGCCTTCTCATCCTCCTTCCCTGGAACAAACCTTGGGAGATTCAAAAGTGTGTCGACACGAGATACTCCATCAAGAGAAGACCAATCTATTCCTAATTCTAAATTCCTTTCCAGCTGCTTTGACTTTGATGAATCTTCATTCCCTCCGGGGACTACTTCATCAGTTCGCACAGTTCTGTATCGGTCGAGACTGGTTAAGACACTGACACTATTGTCTTTCTCGCTATCATTGTTGACATGGTCCATTGAAGCTGGCTGCACTTTTTCCTTGGCATTGGAAGCATAAGTTAAGTTGCTTGAGTTGGAATCAAGGAAGAGACAGACGACAGCACAATCATCAACTTTTGAAGTCGGGTATTTGTATCTCCAAGCTCGAACTGCTGAATGAACCAAGGCTCGAGCGGCATAGGAACGTGTAGGGGCAGATGCTACAATATCTATCACTTCGTTGTTTGAAAGAACATCCCATATCTGCAAAGATATTGAGGAAAACCTTAGATTTTGAGTTAAGCAATCAAATGTCAGTATTTTGAATAAGAATTCATGTTGGCTACTTTACCCCATCTGTGGCCAACACAATAAATTCATCCTCCTCTGATAGGCGCCGATAATATACTTCAGGCACAGAGATCAGGCCAAAATCCTTGAGGCAAAAGTCCCCAAAAGCCCGTGCCATGGCCAGGCCAGGTGCATCATTGTTAGGCAGCCAAACTCTGGCAACTGTAGGTTCATCACGAAGAGCAAAGACACGACCCTTACATCTTCGAATTCTCTCCTCTTCCGCTGTAAAGGGAAAAGAAAAAGAAAAAGTGTATTTAACATGTCAGCTGGTGAAATCTTCTCTCTCAACTGCTTCCAGTAATGAAAACTGTATCGAGAATGTACAGAAAACACAAAACTAAAGGATACATGAAATGTCAGATGAGCCAGCCAGCCAGAGAGCACAATAACGTAAAAAGCATAAATGTAGTTGCACGCACGCGTGCAGTTAGGATATACTAGAACAGACATGTACCTGGAAGATTTGGTTTGAGATCAACAGTCAACTGAACTGCAGTAAGTGAATTGTCTTTGTCCCTAGAGGCCAACACAGCTCTTGAGTCCCCAACATTGCCAATGACTAGGTATGGACCCTATACAACAAGGAAAGAGACTTACGATTAGCTATGAAACTTACCATAAAATAGTTCTTCAAATAAAGCTTTTAAAAGTTGATGCTGCATACCTGTTTGACCAACGTTACAGCTGTTGTTCCACTACAGAAGCAATTGATATTTGTATGCAATCTAAGTTCCCTGTCCATAGCCTTAAAAGCCTTCAGAAAAGACGCTTTAAGAGTCTTAAAAATCTCGATCTCTGGGTGCTTTTCCATTTCATCAAGATTTACAGAGGTCCTAAAGTCATCATCAGCAGATGTAAGAGCAGTTTCTTCGGAGTTCACGCTTCCTGCAGTGTTCAAACTGGTCTTTCTGAGAACATCCTCACTGGATATATTGACTTCCCAGTGAGCACTCAGTTTTAAGGGAAGATGGTCCCTCACTTTCTTTGCTACCATGTGACCAAAGGGACCGTGGCCGTCAAAAACACCACACAAAACTGTATCTGCTCTGGAACAAAAATTCTGGGGAACAACAGCCATGAATAGTGAGAAATGGAACATGATAATGCAGAAGAACAATATTGGTAACCATATTAACAATATCTAATACGAGAGAACAGTTATTCGCATCACAAATCTGTTGTGACTATAAACTTTTATCCTTCCTCTGACTACAAAAAATAAGATACATGTTACAGGGATAAAAAAAGCCAATTAAAGGGAAGAAGTTGCATTCAATTAACACGACAATATTGCTTTCCCTCTAATTAGACAGCTATGAAGATATGTTCACAGGTAACCTAAAAGTTACATACACAACTTGAAGATAATACAAAATTTAATGTTAGCCGAAACATATTAAAATTAACTTAATATTACAGAACTAAAAGATACTGACAAAGCAACCAGGAAAGAAGGGAAAGTTCCATTATCCAATAAATATTATACTCCTAAATAATATAAGATCTATTACAATTCTTCAAAGCTACAAAAGGATCATGACACACAAAGCCAAATATATTAAACAATAATCGGTTGACCAGTTTGATAGAAACAGGATTCATGTGAAAAATGGATAAAAGAAAGAAACTAACCTCCCAAACAATCATGGCATCCTGGTTGGTTCCTTTCTTGCCTTGTTGAGTATAGAGTGAAGCAACACCACTACAGCCATTCAAGAATAACCTCCCCGGAATCCTATGCAATGTTTCTCCCTTGCTGTAGTCGAAAGACCCTGATTTCTTCCTCAAATACCCCTTCTTCCAGTAGTCGAGAGCCTGATGAGGGGAATGGGATAGAGGCGACCCCGGGATAGGGCTCCTGCTTTCAGCAGAGAAACAGGACCCCATTTGGAGGGCCCTGATGATGCTTAATATGCACTCCAGACCAGCTAGACAACCACAACCCCTATTCTCAGTTGATGGATCCGTCAGAACTCGTTGGGTTAAGTCCTCGAAGAGACTCTTCCCAACTTTCTAGATAGCTAATGTTGCAGATTAATCCACCAATAACCTTTAATTGTAAAATCCTTCTTTCACCAAATCTAAACAATCCTTTCTCAATTCAGAGCCAAAATATCCTATTTGCCAATTGAAAATTCCTTGATTGGTTCTTCAATCGCTTAAAATTTCCATCTTCAAAATCACAGCCTTAAAATAACTTTTCCTTTGAGTTTCTTCCCAAATCACTTGAATAATTACCTTAAATAAGAATTTTCCCGATACCCTTTTTCACTTTCAATCCAATGATCAGACCACTACACGAATTCAATCTCTTGAACTGCATCCATTAAAAAGAAAAACACTCAGAATAAAAGAAAAAGAAGGAAAGGTAAATCCTTGGTTTCTAATACATGAAATGGATCAGAAAGAAAATAATAATAACAACAAAAAACTGTAAAGGCATATGTGTTGGGGGGAAAAGGAGATCTATAGATGCAAATCAACAGCAAAGAAGCACAATTTATGGGAATCATTAATTATACATTGAATAACTCCACCAGGAAAAAAATGCAAGACCATTTTCAATGAACAAGGCCAAAAGTTGTTAAGAGTCGTATAATTCAAACAAGAAACCACCCCAAAAAGAGCAGAAGAACAAAAACAAAAAACAAGGCCATGGGTTAGTGAAAATTGATTGAAGATAGAGAGGGAGAGAGGGGATACCTGAACACAGTTGTTCAAAGAGGAGTTATAGTTAAAAAAAGAAGGAAAAAAAAAGGAAACAGCAAATTATCTCATAATTCTTTTGGGATATATTTTCGTGAGGACAAGAATTGAAGATGATACAAAATGTTATTTTTCTTTACATATATAGCAAGAAAGGATTTATACTTTTTAATTAGACTTTTATTATATTCGGGTGTGTGTTTAATTAATTAGTAGGGTACAACAATAATCAGTTTATCGAATTTAGCAATGAACTTTAAATATTTCAATTTTAATATCATTTAGTACATTATAGTATATGTTAAAAAATAACTCTTAACCTTTCGTCATTGAACTTTTACACCTCTGATATTCATGGTGTTAAAATCCGAAATTTTAAAGAACAACAATAATTCGTTTACTACGAATTTAATATCAAATTTCAATTTATCTGAATTAGGGTACTTCTTTAATAATTGGTGATATGATTATTTTTTATAAAAAATTATTATTTTTATTTGCCGTGCGCATCAATTGTCATTTGTTATCATATTAACATCAAAATATTCTTATTTCGCTCATCTTTCTTTTTCAATAGTAAGTATACATGATAATGATTTTTAAAAATAAATAAATTTCTGATTACATGTGTATATTTGTATATATTTTATATCATTCACATAAATATTAAGACTATATAAATAATTAAGTCAACATTTTAGATACGAGTTACAGAGTCAGAACATCTTATTTTAATTATAGTAATAAATATTGTATTTTTATATTACTTTTATTATGATTGAAATATAAATTATCATTTGATATACGATTGAAAATATAATACATCTAAGATAATATCAATCAACTCAAAAGAGGTAGGGTTTTCGTAACGTACATAAACTTTCTATTTCATGGTCACGTATTCTTCTAATTCTAGCACATATATTTTTGAATTTTTTTAGAGCACTTAATAAAATTATAGATGAATCCATCAAGTGACCTTGGGTAAAAAAAGTATTATTCTTTTTAGAGATCTTTGGTTCGAACAATTATATATGTAAGGTGTGTGTTGTCAATAAATTAAGAAAATTATGAATGAATAATATCTTGTAATCATGAATATACCTAGGCGGGGGCGGTCGCCCCCTAAAAATTTAAATTTATCATATATTTTATATTTTTTCCATATATTTTCAATTGAATACAAGTCTTCGTCCTCCCTAAAATTTTATAAGTTTAAGTTTGTCACCTCTTGAATTTTATAAATTCAGGTTCAACTCACTAACATAAAATCTCACGTCTGTCTTGCTTATAATTACTCAGGCTATTTAAAGAAAATTATATGCAAAATAAATAAAATTTATAAGACAACCAATTGGGGACTTTGATTCTTAGTTTTTTTTTTCTTTTGGAGTTTGGGTTTAATTTTTCTGTTTCAATTTCTCCCTAATCATTTTTTTATAATTCAAAATTTGAGATTTATTAAAAAAATTTGAAAAAAATGCTTAACTGATAAATTTTAATTTTTGATTAATTAATCGCTTAATAATATATTTTGTCATATAATTATTTCATCTAATATTTAATAATAAATAATATATTTATAATCAAATTTTAATTAAATAATTAAATTAAAAATTAAAAATTAATCTATTTATAATTTGAAATAATAGTTAAATAACCTAAATGTATTTGACCGTATATCAAATTACATGTAGAGGTGGTCAAAATCACAGGGACGCTACTGCTAGTTGCCATCTAGCTTCAAAGAGACAGCCAATTAATACATGAGAAAATTAATTCAACATTTTTATTTTCAGTCAAACCTAGTCGGCCGCCTCACTCTTCCATTAAGAAAACAATGGGATTAAATATAAAATAAGTGTTAAAATTATACTTTTTTTTGTATGGATAAATATTTAAAATCCTTTTTTTTTGAATCATCTTGAATTAAGATATTTAACGTTATAATTATAATTATTTTAGGTGTTTGTGTTGTCAACGGCGTTAATTTTTTCTGTTAAGTGACATATATCACAATATCTAATGATTTTAAAATTTATTTTTCAAAATATTAAAAATATTATTATATTTATTAAAAAATCACTAATTTCTCTTAATTTATAAAAAACTCTAAATCCCTAAACTTTAACCTTAACCCCTCGTCGCCGCCCTTTCTAGCCACGACCGTCGCCGTCGATGTAGTCACTACCATCCTCCTAGTCATACGTTGTCATCAGTGACGAATCCAAAAATTTAAAAATGGAGAACCAAAATTTTAATATTATTTTATTACAAATAATGGGTATGCAATTTTTTTTCTTTTTTCTTAACATATTAAACTAAATTTCACTATTTTTCCAAAATAATAGGGATGCACTTGGCCTCCTATGGGACTTAGTGCATCCGCCCCTGCCCGGTGTAGTTGTCGTCGATTGGTCGTTAAAATTATAATTTTTATCTTAGGTTTCACAGGATATAAAACGTAAATTCGTTGTCGATCGGTCATGATTTCATAGAGGTTTTGGTCGTCGGGGTGGTGAAATCAGGTGGAGCTTCGTCGTTAGTAAAAGATGACGATCGATGTGTGTTTAGGGTTAAAATGGGATCTTCGAAGTTTTAGGGTTATTTCAAAATTTTAATATTTTTAAATATATGCATAATTTTAATTTATTTGAATTTTTAAATAAATTTTTTAAAATTATCATTATTGTAACTTGTGTCACTTAACGGGAGAAATTAGTACAGTTGACAGCTCGGACACCTAAAATGATAACGTTTGTAGCTTTAGACATCGGTATAAATCAAAAAAATACTTTAGACATCTACTCATGAAAAGTAATATAATTTAGACACTTATTTTATATTTAACCCTAATGTATATATATATATATTTATTTATTTATTTAAAATTTTGAATGACATTAATTTTAAAATTACAAGTTTTAGGTTAGCATCAGATGTAAAGATGACGCACATATGATATTAATGATTGTATATGAATATTGTTCAACTATATATTTATGTATTTATTTATATATGCATTGCATTTTATCTATATTTTTAATTTTTTGACTGCCAGAGGTCTTTCACGGAAGCTACTCTCAACCTGACGTTGGAGGGAGCCTACTATCCTACCTCCCCTTACCCCATTGCATATGAGAATTGGGTTTTGTTGTTGTTGTATCATATGTAAAGACGACAAAATATAAATCGTCTAATGAATTTAAAACAGTTCCGCTTTGAATTAAATAATTTATTTTGATTTTGAAAAATGGTTGTGGGATGAGACATGACATGACATGACATGTAGATTTATGATAATTATTTAATATGTTTTGTTTCATCTTTTCAACTATATATTTATGTATTTATTTATATATACATTGTATTTTATCTATATTTTTAATTTTTTGACTGTCGGAGATCTTTCACGGAAGTTACTCTCAACCTGACGTTGGGGGCAGCCTACTATCCTACATCCCCTTATCCCATTGCATATGAAAATTGGGTTTTGTTGTTGTTGTATCATATGTAAAGACGACAAAATATAAATCGTCTAATGAATTTAAAACAGTTTCGTTTTGAATTGAATAATTTATTTTGATTTTAAAAAATGGTTGTGGGATGGGACATGACATGACATGTAGATTTATGATAATTATTTAATATGTTTTTGTTTCATCTTTTCAACTATATATTTATGTATTTATTTATATATGCATTGCATTTTATCTATATTTTTAATTTTTTGACTGCTGGAGGTCTTTCACGGAAGCTACTCTCAACCTGACGTTGGGGGCAGCCTACTATCCTACCTCCCCTTACCCCATTACATACGGGAATTGAATTTTGTTGTTGTTGTATCATATGTAAAGACGACAAAATATAAATTGTCTAATGAATTTAAAATAGTTCCGCTTTGAATTGAATAATTTATTTTGATTTTGAAAAATGGTTGTGGAATGGGACATGACATGACATGTAGATTTATGATAATTATTTAATATGTTTTTGTTTCGTATTTTCATATACAAATATAATTTTACTTTTATATAGATATAATTACTAGAATAGGAAAAATAGAAAATATTATGCCAAAAGTCTTAATTCTTAGAAGATAACTCTCTCTCTCTCTCTCTCTCTCTATATATATATATATATATATATATATATATATATATAGTATCAAGGGCTGCTATGAATCGAGCCGTTTGTCAAGATCACAGCAACACGTACCTTGTCTGCATCCTTTCAATTTCCTTTATTTTACAATTTTATTTAGTATTTCAATATAACACATCAACAATAACGTGACGCATACATATCTATAATTTAATGATAAATTAAAATTCATTAAAAATTAAAAATCCATATAAAATAATTCATAATTTAATGCTGTTAGGTCTTGAAAATATATTAAATGAATGCAATAACGTGAACATCAATGAGTAGTCTTAACCAAAACAGAAAGGGATTGGGATTATTACAATTTAAGCCCAGTTTTGATAAGATTATGGGTCACACGATTGCTTATCCAGTTTATTTATAAATAAAAACAAATTCCTTATACAACTTAATGCAGTTTTTACAAGATATTAGATTTTTTAAATAAAATTTGAACCTTGGAATCT